CTTTAGAAAAATAGTATATAGTAGAAAGAACATGAGAAGACCAGAGAATAAAGAAGGAAGCAATCAAGAGAGGGTGTGTCTTTTCCATAAAATCCCTCAGATATAAAACTCTTAACTTATTCCGACTAGGTGGATCCTTTCAAAGCCCTGAGCTGCTGGAGGCTGTCCTCCCCACTCCCTAGACAGTAATATGTTACTTTTCTTTTCCCACTGTGTCCTCAATCATCTGTCTCCAAACAAAAAGGTAATTATACCCTAGTTTCTCTGGCGGTGTGAATTATATGCTGGTGATCTCTTGCTCTAGGTCTAAAATCCATATATGAGTGAGTACATAACATGTTCCTCTTTTTGTAATTGGGTTACCTCATTCAGGATGGTTTCTTCAAGTGCCATCCACTTGCCTGTGAATTTCAATTTCAAGATTCCATTTTATTTTTCCCCGCAGAGTAGTATTCCATTGTGTAAATGTGCCACATCTTCTTTATCCTTTCTTCAGTTGAGGGGCATCTAGGTTGCTTCCAGGTTCTTGCTATTTCAAATAATGCTTCTATGAACATATTTGAACACATGTCTTTGTTGCATGGATTTGGATCATTTGGGTATATGCCTAAGTGAGTATTGCTAGGTTCTATGGTAGACTGATTCCCATTTTCCTGAGGAACCGCCATACTGATCTCCAAAATGGCTGTACAAGTTTGCACTCCCACCAGCAATGGAGGAGTTCCCATTTATCCACATCCTCTCCAGGATGAGTAGTCATTGGTGTTTCTAATTTTAGCCATTCTGGCAGGTATCACAAAGTTGTTTTGATTTGCATTTCCCTGATAGCTGAGGATGTTGAGCACTATCTTAAGAGTCTTTCAGCCTATTTGATTTCCTCTAATGAAAGTCCTCTATTCAGTTCTGTATCCCATTTTTAAATAAGGTTATTTGGTATTTTGTTGACTAGTCTCTTGAGTTCTTTGTATATTTTGGAGATCAGCCCCCCTGTCAGATGTAGGATTGGTGAAGACCTTTTCCAAGTCTGTGGGCTGCCATTTGGTTTTGTTAACTGAGTCCTTGCCTTACAGAAGCTTCTCAGTTTGAGGATGTCCCATTTATTAATTGTCGATATTAGTGTCTGTGCGACAGGAGTTATGTTCAGGAAGTGGTCTCCTATACCAGTTTCTTCAAGGGTACCTCTCACTTTCTCTTCTAAAAGGTTCAGTGTGGCTAGATTTATGTTGAGGTCTTTGATCCATTTGGTCTTGAGTTTTGTGCATGGCCATAGATATGGGTATATCTGCGGTCTTCTACACACCATCATCCAGTTGTGCTGGCACCATTTGTTGAAGATGCTTTCCTCTTCCCATTGTATACTTTTAGCTGTTTTGTCAAAAATCAGGTGTTCATAGGTGTGTGGGTTAATATCAGGATTTTTGATTCGATTCTATTGGTCTACTTGTCTATTTTTGTGCCAATACCAGGCTGTTTTCAGAACTATAGCTCTGTAGTAGAGCTTAAAGTTGGGGATGGTGATGCCTCCAGAAGTTCTTTTATTTTACAGGGTTGGTTTGTCTAAAAGGAGGAATCTAAGAGATTCATATATGTTCCTTCACAAAAGGGGAAAGGGACAAGATCTCCCGAGCATATGGGAAGTGTGGAGGTAGTGAGTGGAGAGGGAACTAGTAGAAAGAGGAGGGGAAGAAGGAAAGCATGTCAGACTAAGAAGATTGAGTCCGGGGAGGAATAGACAAGAGAAGAGAGAGAGAGAGAGAGAGAGAGAGAGAGAGAGAGAGAGAGAGCACAAAATAAGGAGCCGTTATTGGTTTGTAAAGAGAACTGAACATAGAGAAATGTCCAGAGACCTACAAGACTGACTCCAGCTAAAATTTTGAGCAGCAGATGAAAGGTTACCGTAAATGCCCTTCTCTGATAATGAGATCAATGACTAACTTATCCACCATCGTGGAGCCCTCATATAGTAGCTGATGTAAAGAGAAGCAAACACCCACAACTAAACACTGAGCTGACCTTTAATCCAGATTCAGAGAGGGAGGACAAGACCAGGCTACAGAAACACATAGAGACTGCTGGTATGAACAAGGAGGAGCTAATGGGCCCCCAGACAGATAGCTGGGAATCCAGCATGGGACTGATTCATAACCCCTGAACATGGGTCTCAGTTAGAAGGCCTGAGTTGTCTAAGGAACCTCTGACACTGGAACCAGGATGTATCCCTGGTGCACCAAAGGACTTTGGGGGCACATTCCCCATAGAGGGATACTGCCTTAGCCTAGAGACAGGAGAGAAATCCTAGTTCCTACTCTAAATGACTTGACATATTTACAAGACCCTTCCTGGAAGGTATCATCCTACATGTGGAGTGGGGGTGGCTGGGAGGGGAAGGTGGTCTGGGGCATGAGAGGATGGTAGAGAGACAAAGATGGAGGAAGGGAGGGAGAGGGAACTCGGATTGATATGTAAAATAAAAATAAAAATAAATAAATAAAAATAAACTTGTAACATTCCTCATTCAACAGACTTTTTTTTCCTGTCTGTGGAAGAATAATATAAAAGTATTTTGCTTTGGGGGAATAAATTTGTGTGAAACTCGTTATGCTTGGATTTGTACTCATTTTTAAATTTGAACACATTATTTTTATTTACATTATTTTATTTGAAAATGTTTACAACAGTACAGTGGAATTAAACTTCAGAAATGATGGATGTCATCAGCTTATTATAAAAGGGAGGTGTGGAAATTATTTAGATGATGAAATAGTTCAGAATGTCAGTGGTATGGGCAGCTTTATGTGACACCATTTCAACAATGATTTTAGTTCATGTACTTTCCAAGAATGTAGCAGTCTCTAGAAGAGAGATACTATTCATCATCTGGGATGACTTTGGTTCTATCATATTCTAGGAGAAGAACTTTGTGTTTAATGTTCACACTAAATGGTTGTATCTCTCTAGCCTTTCCTTTTTTGTTCAACACCACAGCTACCACTGTTGCTTGTGGTGCTGCTACCTTTGGTGACAAGTTTGGCTTTACTTCTTTTGACCCATACTCTGTCAAAGAACATAAGAAATGTCCAAAGCTTGCTGTTCAGTGACTTCACCACTGCAGCTGGGACCATCCAGCCACCATTGTACACATTCATTTAATAGCAGGGATGGCTCATAGGGAGTCAAAATTGAGATTAGAGTCAACTGGGGTCAATTATCAGGATTGGCATTCCACTTTACAATTGACAAAGTGGAGCTTTTCTGAAAACCAAGTTTTATAATTTTTAAAAAGTAGATTTTATATATAAAATAGAAGATTTATTCAAATTCTGAGGTGGGTAATGTTGTGATGAATCTTTTCTTCTGATGATAAGCATCTAATTCATTAACTGCACTAATGTCCTTGATCAACTTCAGATACAGTTATATTCTTTCCAATTGTGTATACTTCAGAGAGCACCTCATGGGTCTCTCATCCAGGATAATCAGGCCCCTTAGTTAAAAAAGGTCAACTTGAACCAAGATGCAGGAATAATGGGATGGAAAAACTTGGACACTGGTTGTTTTCTTTATTAAACCTCCAAGCAAGAGCCTAGAACAGCATATAGTGCAGATATTCCCTGAGAACTCAGTGGTAACACCACTCTGGAAACCCTGAGACACGGCTATAGTTTTGCTGTTTTAAGCCTCTCAGTTCATAATATTCTTCTCTAGCAACCTGAAATTAAGCATATGTGAACATAGGGGTCCCTTATATGATATAGTTAAGGTAAGGTTCTTTTAAGATATACTCATTGACTGTTATCATTACAGGCTTACAAGTATTCTTTGTCTATTCTTCTATTTAGGTTAGTGCCCAAATTGCATATTTTCTTTCAGTTAAAAGTCATCTGATTAAGATTTGAATTCTCCACTTATCAGCTGTGTAATGAGCCTCATGAAACTTCAGTTTCTGGATAACATTCAACATAAAACTATGAACTTATTAACAAAGATCAAATGGTATAATAACTGAAGAATGATCATTAAAGATGATGAAGACTTACAATATAGATATAAAAATCAATTGTATAGGTGCCAGGTTGGATGAGTTCATCTAAACTCTCCTCTTCTACATACATAGATTTATAGATGGAGTTCATCTATATTCTCCTTTACAATCTCTGATATATAAGTGCAAATGTAATTCCAATATCTTAGAATTAGAATGACTACAGTTCCTGTATATTACAGTTTCTATTTATTTATCTCTTGCACACAGAGAGTATGTCAATGATAGGAAATCACTAAAGAGAAATACATGAGCTAAATTAATCTCTAAAAATAAGTTCAGATAGTCTACAGATTTAGATACTTCAAATGTAAAGTGCAGTACAGCAATGGAGAGGGCACCTCTTTGTCTAGGGCACCTCATGGTAGATTTCAAAAACATGCATGTCTGTGATACTTAGCAATCACTTTTTCAAGCAAAAAGCCAGAGGAAGAAACCCAGTAATCCCTCCACAGACATATCTCCAACTGACCTAAACAGTAAAGACTTTCATGTAGGCCAGATCTCAAAATGTGTCAGTTTTCTAAATACTATCACCTTAGAAGACAAAGTCTGCAATTTGTTAAGTTTCACGGTAGTTTTCCAAGAATTTTGAAAAATGGAAGATTTTAATTAAAAATAAAAGGTGTCTAAAATATTTCTGTATGAATATATTTGAACTAATCCCCATTTTATATATGTCTCCCTCCTGGTTGATATTATTTCTAAAAATTGATAATAATGGACAGGTGCTTTCATACATTGCTGCATGTCTTGAGTGTTTTTACACCAAACAAAGATTTACTTCTGGAAAGAATGCTTGTTTCTTACATGTCTGGCCTTCTGAAGATAAAAGAGCCATTTGGAGGATAAAGAAGCACCTAGAACATACCTTCTAATAGTTTAACAGCAGGAAGCAGATTGACTTGAGATTTCAAAAGCAAATATTTTCACATTTATTCAATGTCCCACAACTTACCCAGGAACTATATGGCTGCAAGACAGACTGTCTCAGTGCTGTGCTTAAGTTATAGTCTTCAGAACTGTGGTGAGCTTGGTGTGCAGCCCAAATAATATTAATCTCTGAAAAACACATGGTTTAAAACAAGGATGAGAATGAGAAGAGAGCAGCTTTGATTCAGTCATGAGCTTTGCTCTGCTAAGAGCAGATAAAAAGCCTGAAACATCTCAGAAAAGCCTGGCCAACAGAATAGATAATTAAAATGAGGTTACTTTAAGCATTTTTTGGAACCACACAAATACAAATAATAAATAAATATCAATTGAAGCATAACAACATACTACTAATGAAATGAAATGACATCCAAAATTTATGCTTTGCTAACATTTACAATATCACAGATCATAAAAAGCTAACGTGTGGTGTTATAACAAAATAGTAAATGGAAAGTGATGAGTTTTCAGTATGTAGTAACACATTTCTAATTAAAGAGGAATTCTCCAATGGGAGAAATTGGTTTATAATGAAATATTGTGGCCTATTATTTCCTGATGGCCTTTGAGATATCTTAAAAGCAGTCTGTTGGAATAAGAAAACCATATGATATTTGGTGCTGATCTTTAAGATTCCACTTTTATTCACACACACGTCATTGTACATGATTCTTCTCACAGCTTATCAAGAGGTCCACCACTTCACACTATGTTCTGATGGGGGATATCATTCTATATATATGTTTGTCTTATTGGTTGATTAATAAAACACTATTTGGCCAGTAGAGGGAGGAAGATTGGCGGGACAAGACAAGAATGCTGGGAAAAGGAAGGCAGAGGGAAGACCATGAGGATAGCTGACAAAGGAGTAACAGGTCCAGTCATTCCCCAGTAAGCCAAGACCATTTGAAAACATAGATTGGTAGTTATTGGTTAATAATTAAGAGCTAGCCAATAAGAAGCCCTAGTTATCAGCCAACTGTTTAACAATTAATATATCTCTGTGTGCTTATTTGGGGCTTAGAGGTGGCAGGACCTGGCTGGAAAGAAACTCTGCCTACAATGTTCATGTGTCCTCAAAACAGAGATGCAAGTTGAGACTGATTATTACATCAAGAGGTATCAAAATCACCCTCACAAGACCTGCTGTCATTTCAAGCAAGAAAAGTATTTTCATTAACCATTGTCCAATAAGTATACTTAAAATCACGATTACTTATTATTTTAATCATTTAATCACTTCTAGTAATCACACTGTCCCCAAGAATTCAAGAATTATTTTGCATGAATGAGCAGTAATCCATCACAAGGTCCTTTAAAACTACACAGACACAGTATTTGAAACCATTTGAAACTGGTTAGGGCCCAAACTTTTAGTTTATTTATTACATACATAGCTACATAGAAGAGAATTGCATGGGCTGTTTCTTTGTACTTTCAGATGTGTGTGGTCTTTGTTTAAGATGTAATAAATTTGACAAATTTCCTAAGTTTTGTAAATTGTTTACAACTGAGCCCTTGAAATAATTTAAACACCATTTTCTCTTTAGACAACTCAATATCAAATGTTTTAGAATGTGGTGCTTATAATAAGCCTTCATTAAAAATAGACATGTCCTTTTTGACTTGACAGTATTTGATTCCAAATATTGGAATCCTAACAAAACCAGAATATAGGTTCATAGAGGGGTAAGGTAGTCTAGTGCTGCTTCCCTGCAATCTCCACAGAAGTAATTGTGGAACAAAGAATCCATGAAGGTGGAGGTTAAAGACCTGTGTCCGTAGTTGTTTTAAAAGCATTACTTCCCATCACAAACTGTGTAACAGGAGCTGGAGATCAATGAAACACAGCTGCATAAACAGCATGCAGTAACAAGATCCTACTGGCTCACCTATGCCCCTTTCCAGCAATGGAAAAGAATCAGGGAAATTGGACTTTTTTGGATGGTCTATAGTCAGCCTTTTGGAAATAAATTATTTTCAAGCATGGTTACAAAAAAATATATTTTTTGAAAATGATTCCAATAATTCTTATGGGAATGGAATAAGGAAAAATTAATAGTTGATTTTTTTGTTTACCTTCCTTAATGCTTTATTTGGTAAATTGCTGGCTCCAATAAATGAAAGCAAATATTAAGGAAGAAAAATAATATTATTTAAGAAAGTATTTTTACATGGAAAGATTTAATAAAATTATACTTTCTGTTCAATAGATATATTTTTCTTTTCTTATAAGCAAATTGTAGACTTTATGTTCACATAATATTTTATTAGTCTTTTGCAATGGCATAATTAGAAATAATTATGCTTATTTACAGTGCCAAAATGTACATTTGTATGAATTTTTTGTTTAATATGTAGCCAAAAATTCTACTCATTTAGCAGAACTCTAATGTAATATGTATGCTATATTACTGACTTTGTTCATTTTAAACACTTTTAATAAATTCATAAGTTTCAGGTCATGCAAGGATGGCTCAATAGTTAAGAGCACTTGCAGCTATTTCAGAGGACCCAGGTTTACTTATCACCCATACCGAGGGCCTCACAGCTGCTTGTAACTCTAGTTCCTAGAGTTCCAAAGTCCTGTTCTGAGCTTTTGGAGTACCTCCTTAAAATGTTGCATCACACTCACACACATACACACACTCACACACAGAGAGAGAAAGATAATGGGGGGAGAGAGAGAAGTAAGGAAGACGTCTTTATAAAATGTATACGTTGCATTAAAACCCCTCAAGCACAGCTATATAATTACTATCGATACAGAAAAAAAACAAAACAAAACAAAAAAACTTCTCTCTTGCCCACCTCTTGTTGCAAGGCTTTGGTGATTCTAGTACTATGGTCATGCCTTTGGTGATCCTTCCTTTCAAATCAGTGGGGTTAAGTGACTCCTTTCTAGGAAAAAAGGATTTTGGCTATGGTGATGGATGGGATGTCACTTTGGTAATTGAAAAGAGTAGCTCTGTCTCAGATACTCTCTTATATCCTCACATTCTCAGGCATATGATTGGAAGTATCCTTTGCTGAGTTACATATGAAGGGTAATTTGGAGAAGTGCTTTACTAACAAGCTATAAAGGGCTAAGCTTTTTAGTACAAACAGCAAGAATCCAGCTAGCAATCATATAAGGGACTTTGGATAGAACCTTGTGCAGCTGAGATCCTGGGTATACTACAACCTGCCTGCCATCAGTTAAACAGCTTAAAAGCAAACAAACTCTATGAGCTTGGGTTGGAGGTGTTCATACAAACCAAATGCTGATTCTATCTCTGAAATCATCTGATAATAGATTGTTATTAATTTAAGCTACTAACTTGTCATACAGCAGTATATAATTAAGGTAGTCAGTGACTCGCTGAGAATCTCAGTCCACACTACCTTGAAATTTGTTTCCTGTCCTTTAAGTTTTTCTGCATCAAGGATGTCAGATAAATATAATCAAACAGTACTGGATTTATGAAGTTTGCCTTTTTTTCATTCAACATAAAGTAATAGGTTGTCCAGCTTTCAATGATTATGACTATTTGGCCTTTATTAGTGTTAATTGTATTCATAAACAAGAAAGTTTGCTGTTTTATTTTGTTTACATATTTTCCCTTTGAAATATCAGTTATTTTCAGTGTGTAATGTAAATAAAAGTCTGTCAAGATTTTTACTTTTCAATTTCTTTATTTGTATTCATTAAATGCAGTATTGGGCTTCATTGTGATATTTTAATGCAATATATAATATGTTTTGATTATATTTGTACATTACTCTCTGGGTACTTCTCCTAGAACTTATTGAACCCTTTCTCTTTCCAAATGGTACCTGTTCTACTTCTCTCTCTCTCTGTCTCTGTCTCTGTCTCTGTCTCTCTCTCTCTCTCTCTCTCTCTCTGTGTGTGTGTGTGTGTGTGTGTGTGCTGTATGTATGTGGAAAGTCAGTCAAAGAGTATCCTGTGTGTTAGTTACTTATTTATTGCTGTGATGAGCCACCATGGACACAGCAACTCATAAAAGAAAACATTTAAGGGTCCTAAAGTTTCAGAGCTGATTCCATGACCATCAGGGTGAGTATAGCATGGCAGTAGGCAGGTAGTCAGGTAGGCAAAACTGTTTCTGGGAAAGTTAACAGAGAACTCACATCTTATCTGCAAGTTAGAAGCAGAGAAAGAGACTGGGACTGACATAAAGCCAACTCCTGCAGGCACTTGGAAATTGGAAGCGACATTCCAAAGAAAGACGCTGTTCAAAGAAGGTAAAGCATGGTCTGGGCATCAAGAAATGTAGTATCAATAAAGAAATGAACAAAGAAATGAAAACTTAAAACAAAATTGAACAAAAAAACTAAATTTAATGCTGAAAGTACTTCACAAAGCTAAGAATTAGAACAATATTTAGTGTAATAATATTTGTTGCCAGCAGACTTCTGCTACCCTTCAACAGCAAGACCTGAACATTCCAATGAAGATAAGGCACAATAAATGACATTAAAAATAACTTTATGAAGAAGCCAGAGGTCCTTAAAGAGGAAATGGAAAAATCCCATAAGGAAATGGAGTAAAATACGATAAAAAATGGAGGAAATCAATAAATCAAATAAATGTCAAGGAACCCAAGAAAAAAAACTAATAAACATTTGACAGAATTAACAAATATTTGGACAGAAACAAAACTGTCCAAAACCTGAAAATGGAAATAGAAGCAATAAAGATAATACAAACTGAGGTGATTCTGGTGATGGAAAATCTGGATAAGAGAACAGAAACTACAATTGTAAGCATCAACAACAGAGTATACATGATGGAAGAGACAATTGCAGGTCTTGACAATACAATAGAAGAAATAGATTCATTGATCAAATAAAATGTTAAACCCAAACAATTCCTCAAACAAAGCATTCAGGAAATTTGGTACACCATGAGAAAAACAAGACTAAGAATAATAGGAATAGAAGAAGGAAAATAATCCCTCCTCAATGTCACAGAAAATATATTCAACAAAATTATAGTAGAAAAAGTTTCCTAGTTTCCTACCTAAGGGACATACCTCTACAGGTACAAAAAGCTTACAGAACACCAAATAGACTGGACCAGAAAAAATGTTCCCTTTCTGCATAATAAATCAAAACACTAAATGTAC